TTGGGGCCTTAGTCTGCTCCTCAGTCGCTGTCAAAGCACACTTCATAAACTGTTCCGTAGTAGGGGCCAAGCTTCACTAAGAAACTAAGGTAACGACTAAAGTCTTCAAAGATATGCTCTGGATAAGCTTCCATAAAGCGGGCCTTAAATTTTGAGATGAAGAAATATTGTGGACGCCTAACTCGAACCTGGATAAGAGCGGCATGAGTCTCCTCCTCCCAACACTGTCTCTCTTTCTCGAGCACTGTCTCATTTGCTTTGAGGTCATCAGAAAATTGATGACCTTTTTTCGCCAACTCCTCTGTGAGGTCGAACTTATTTTGAGTCCGACAGTTGACTTAAGGGTGAACAATGGTGTGGTTCGGTGAAAAACCACACCGAACCGCACAATATCAAAAACCGAACCTAGCAAAAAAAATAATTGAACCGCACTGCAACATAGAAAAAAACTAAACCCAAAGCGAACTGATTTTTTTACAATATAATAACCGAATCGAACTGCACTGAAATGCACGGTTCATTTCAGTTTTTGATTTTATATCGATTTTGCTATACATTTTATGCAATTTGGTGCGGTTCGTGCAAAATTGCACAGAACCGAACAAAATCGAAAACTGAACTTATGAAAAACTATAACTGCGGTGTATAATAAACCTCTCTCTAGCTCACACGACTTGGATCTGCTCTGTGACCTGTTCATAGACCTGCAAAATTGGCCGAGAGAGGTTCCTGGCGTTAGCACTCCGACGATCAAGTCAGTTCATACTTCATAGATTAATAAGAAGATGAACAATGTATGTAAAGCTGCGTAATTATGTATAGAATGTAATCTTTTAATGGATGTATCTCACCCCTTTATATAAGTGTGTTAACTTGTTGCCCAAGACTGCCACACTGCCCGCCTATGTTGCTTGAATCACCCAATTATGATAGGCCACGTAGTCCTATCCACGTGTATTTTTTATCTTAATAATATTCTTTCTTATACATTAGTTTTCCTTATTAGACGGTCTAATCGTGCGATCTGATTCACCTGGAGGTTGAGTGTTGTCTGTTTTAAGCTCGTACACTCAGCTCCTCTAATCGATCTATCGACTAGTCATACATTCAGGTCGAGTTTTCAACAGTCCATTCAAAGGCCCTAGCTCGACTTGCCAGTGCCTCTTTGAGTTTGTGACGTCCTCTTCGACCTATAGCTTATTCGATCCCCATTCGACCTACCTCTAACTCAGTTCGACCAACCAGTTTGTTCGGCCCAACTGACCGGTTTATCGAGTCTATTCGACTCAGTATGGTATCTCATATCACTAACGTTCATCGTCTTCTTCATCTATGGACTAACTTGATCGTCGGAGTACTGACACCGAGAACCCCACCAACCCATTTTTGCAGATCTACGAATAGGTCAATATGCGGTCGTGTGAGCCATACCTTTGTTTATTACACACCACGTGGGTTGTATTTGAATTTACATTTCTTAACCAAATGTTTTACTTAAAAAAAATTTTGCAGGTATATACATAATAGAGAAAAAATTACTCTCTTATTCCAAAATTCTGAACTAATGAAGCACATCACTGACAAGACATTACTCGTGGGTCGAGTGTGGACCCACAACCGTTACATTCCTAGCAAATTGATAATGTTAAGTATCTACAATCCCAAATTGATATATTCCACTTTCTCAATTTTGCATGCGTGACATGTAAATAGACCTAAATTTTGAATGGCATGGATAAAAATATATAAAAGTAACATAAAAGGATTTTTTTTTATCTTTGTTTAAGTAACAGAATAAAACAAAGAAATTATCTACTCCGTCCGACTAGTTCCGGGTTCAAATCCCGAGCAACCCATTTTCACTGCCCGCCTATGCTGCTTGAATCACCCAATTATGATAGGCCACGTAGTCCTATCCACATGTATTTTTTATCTTAATAATATTCTTTCTTATACATTAGTTTTCCTTATTAGACGGTCTAATCGTGCGATCTGATTCACCTGGAGGTTGAGTGTTGTCTGTTTTAAGCTCGTACACTCAGCTCCTCTAATCGATCTATCGGCTAGTCATACATTCAGGTCGAGTTTTCAACAGTCCATTCAAAGGCCCTAGCTCGACTTGTCAGTGCCTCTTTGAGTTTGTGACGTCCTCTTCGACCTATAGCTCATTCGATCCCCATTCGACCTACCTCGAACTCAGTTCGACCAACCAGTTTGTTCGGCCCAACTGACCGGTTTATCGAGTCTATTCGACTCAGTATGGTATCTCATATCACTACCGTTCATCGTCTTCTTCATCTATGGACTAACTTGATCGTCGGAGTACTGACACCGAGAACCCCACCAACCCATTTTGCAGATCTACAAATAGGTCAATATGCGGTCGTGTGAGCCATACCTTTGTTTATTACACACCACGTGGGTTGTATTTGAATTTACATTTCTTTACCAAATGTTTTACTTAAAAAATTTTTTGCAGGTATATACATAATAGAGAAAAAGTTACTCTCTTATTCCAAAATTCTGAACTAATGAAGCACATCACTGACAAGACATTACTCGTGGGTCGGGTGTGGACCCACAACCGTTACATTCCTAGCAAATTGATAATGTTAAGTATCTACAATCCCAAATTGATATATTCCACTTTCTCAATTTTGCATGCGTGACATGTAAATAGACCTAAATTTTGAATGGCATGGATAAAAATATATAAAAGTAACATAAAAGGATTTTTTTTATCTTTATTTAAGTAACAGAATAAAACAAAGAAATTATCTACTCCGTCCGACTAGTTCCGGGTTCGAATCCCGGGCAACCCATTGTCATGTCGAAATTCTATGTATA